TCTAGGTGCACAGAACACGGCTCAAAGGGAAAGAGGAAGATAGAACTTGCCTGAATAGGTTTGCAAACAAACCCTTGTTGCCGTTGGTCTCAGTTTTTTGACATCCACTGAAACTTGTCTAACCTCCTAGAACCTCTGCTCCTTCCTTCTCCTTGGTTAAACCTTGGAACCCCAGTCGAAATTCTCACAAACTGCTCTGTTCTCACCAAAACTCCCTCTGTAACTCTCTCTATTTGGCAGACTTTTCCGTGTAAAAGTTACGACAATATGTAACCCTAGGTTTAACATATACTGAGGTATTTATAATTGCAAGATTAAAACCCTAATCCACAGAGCCCTAACTTCGTCGGCCCACAAAGTAACCCAGTTTAGATACATATCAAATGCTTATGAGACGGCTCCAAAAACCCTAACTAAAACATATCTAAAACCCTAGTTAATGGGAATTACATAATTACCCTGTTCAAAAATTAAATACTTAATAAATAATTAATTTAATAAAACCCATTAATTAAATCAAATAAGCAAGCAACGAATCACTTAAAACACATAAAATAAATAATTAAGCAATGAATCAATTACAACACATAAAACGCAAATAAAGAATAAACTGCAATTAAAGAATAATTTAAATAATAAATCAACTAATGCACATAAAAAAAATAAAATCCAATTTAAACAATAAATTAAATACCAGGACTATCCTTTTGAAATTAGGGGTATTACACTTGGCCTTATGTCATACATATCAAATAGATTCTAAATAGTGTATCTAAGTACACTTTACATATAATAAGGCAAGAAGAGCATATTGCCCCTAACTAAGTATTACATCTTGATAGGCAAAACTTAAACATGGTAACACTTGCATGTGAACAAGAATACTTTAAAAGAAACTTAAATCTCCAAATCACCCAAGGTAAGTGCAAATCTTCGAGTCTTGAATTCTGTACCTGAACAATACCCCCAGTAACTTCGGGGTGAGTAAACAAGTTTACTCATAGAGAATGAGCATGTATAAACTTGATTTCTTACAGATTTTTACATTAATATGAAACAATTCAAAATGGTCATATAACGTCTATGTCAAAGGTGAGACTCGGGAAGCATCCTAAGCTACCATAGAGTATAAATCAGCAAGAATCGTGATATATATACATATTTGAAACGAATTAAGGTTGGGATAATCCAAAGAACATGATAGGAGAATACTTAAATATAGATCAACATAAATTGCATTATCAATATAATTAAGCAAGGTTTGGAATAATTTATACAGCACGACAAGAAGATACTAGAATACAAAAATCATATTGTCAATGCAATTTATATGATTGGAACATTCCAATTAACACGATAAGAAGAATATTTGGACATAAGTTAACAAGAATTACATTATCAAGACAATTAACATGATGAGAGCTTTCCAATTAACACGATATGAGTGATACATGAAATCAAGGGCAATGCATAATATCTATGTAATAAACAAGATTGGTGCATTTCACATAACACGACACGTTTTAAATCTTCAAGGAATAACAACTTGAAATTTAAAGAGTGAAATCAACCAATGTGGAAACTCGGATATCGCCCGAATTAAAACCGTACTCTTAGGATCACTTTAAGGCTACTAATCCATGAGTACCTTCCCCTAGTGCGCACTATAGTGTAGGGAGCTCTCTATCTCCTATATTAGAACCAAGTCCTAACTATGCCAATTCTTGATTGATATCCCAAGTCCCAAAATCAACAAGTTGTGCAAATCAAGATAGTATCAAGACACAAGTAATGCATTAAACCACATTCCTTGCACAACCAAGATTTTGGAACACATAAGTCATGCCCTAAGTTCATCAACTATCATGGCATGTAAAATGTCAAGAAATCATAGTGTGCATCTATATAGACTACAAATTATGATTTAAAACACAAGGAATCTATTGAAGTAAACATACCACAAGTATAAGATACATGATTCAATTACTTACTAAACAACACATGTGCAATTAAACCATTTCAAGACAAATGTGCAAGTTCATTATTCTACGGATAAGATATGTCAAGGATCTTGTCAACGACTAGTTCAATATCAAGTTACAAGTTTATTTCATACAAGACACAACCATGTGAATTAAGTTCCATACAAATGAAACAAATAAGTGTAAGTCTCAAAACTTATCCGATTATTCTCGAGTTGATACACACGAACGAACTTGTCAAGAAAATCATAAATACCAAGTTAGAAACTTAATCAAGTCTAAGGAACCATTGAAATGATTTTCATTAATTAATTTAACTAAAATCTCTAGATTTTGAAATTTATCCAAATGATCTCGAATTAATATATGTTATATAACATGTCAAGACTTGATTTAAAAACATGATACAAGTGAATTTCAAGCAAGATACGGCCATGAGTATTAAACTTTAATACTAAAAAATAATTAAATGAAAGGTTTCAAAACCTAATAAAATATTCTCGATTTAATATATTTGAAAGTTTATGGCATGCACGTCAAGAATATCAAATCGGAAATCTAATGGAGTGAATAGTGCACATGGAATAAATTAATTAATCAAATCAATTAAATATTACTAGATTTCAAAATATCTCCAATTACTCTCAAATTCACTTATGTTGAAGCGCATGCTAGTGCCTAATATAATATGACAACACATGTTAATTTCAAGCTAGATATGACCACATGAATTAATCTTTCATTCAAGAAAAATATTAAATAAAATCTTTAATACTTGTTCAAATGCTCTCAATTTAATATATGTCAATGACCATATCAAGGGGTAATTTAATCTCATGCCACATGTTTAAACCAAGTTATAACTCACCGGGAAAATCAAATCTCATACAAGAAAAATAAATAATAAAATCTCTAGATTTTGATACAAGACATGTAAATGAGTTGTATAAGTATCAATAACATGCAACATTAAGAAAATAAACCATAACACCCCTACCTCCATTTGAGATGAAATCTCAAATCCCCACCGAAAGAAAAATGCTCCGAATCCGACGATACTCCTAGGTTATGTCGGGGACAACGAAAGAAACATTAAACACCAAGGAGGCACCATGAAAATCACAACTTGATTTCAAACCTGAACTTGAAAAATGGTTAAAAATGAGTTCTAATAATGGGGAAAGATGCGCGTCGTCAAGGCGAGCATAAAACACAAAGGCACTCCGATGTTTTACATGATGGTAGACCTTCAAAAGAGGAGAGAGAAGGTGACAGCCATGGCTGCCATGGATTCTGGCTAGGAGAAAGGAGAGAGAGAGAAAAATCTGTCCTTTTCTCTTAAGACCTCCTATTTATAGAAAAACTTTAAAAGTACCCCAAAAGGGTCCTACCGGTTCAGGAAAAGTGGAATTTGAGCAGATGCTCTCAAATGACAAAACTTCGTGAACGAAAAAGAACCGAAATGAGAAAATATGAATAACGGAAGAAACGACGTCAAAAACTGAGTCCTGAGTAGAAAGATATGTCTCGAATAAGTTCGGCGGCAATCCGAGTCAGAAATCCGTAAAACTAGAGAAAACGACTGGAAGGGAATTTTAAGAATTCATGACTCGGCAAAAAATGAAAATGAATCCCGTACGAGGATCCAGGCTCAAAATAAGGTATTTTGCAATAACTTTCATTAATTGCACAATGGCCCATCCAAAAAGGGTTAACTGCACTAATGACCCAGAATGAAAATATCTTTTAAAAATATTTTCTTAAAAACCCTTGAAATAAAATATCTTCAAAAGATATTTATGAAAAATACCCCAAGAAAAGAAAAAGATTCTAAAGAACTGTACATCCATGCCCCTATGGACACTGGGAGTAATCAGAGTACTTTCTTACAAAAGTAAAGATACGTATTTCGTGGAAATCACTTAGAATGAAGATACGTGAAGTAAAAAACTAACTCCGAGCACGAAAAGTGAGATTTTGCCAAAAAGTGACAAACGGGGAAAAGACATAATAGGGAAAAGGACGAAAAATGAATATTGTCTGAAAAGTGAAAATGTGGAAATTACTCAGTCTTTAAAGGAAGTTGTCAATCCAAATGAAAGAGTCTCGAAAACTATTTCCAAGCACTAGAGACAACACCCAGTGACGAGAAACAGAACTCGAAAAAGAAAATTAAACGGAAAAAATTTATCTGTAAATTTTAAGAAAAAGGAAAGAGAGGAAAATGACCGAGTCATTACAGAAAATGAAACTTATTTTCTTTCCTTGAAAGAGAAAGGAAAAAACTAAGTACTTATCATGAAGGGCAAACACTTTTCTTTTCTTGAAAGTGTCACAGTGGCTCAAACATATGTCTGTCATGTCTAAAATTGTTGTGAAATTTTTTATTTCTGTTGGACGCGGTTGAAACATGGGCAAGACATGAAGGATAGTTTTGTAATTATCTTTATTAAAAGAATATGATTTTTATTCAATTTTAAAATATATTATGTGTTGATTAGAGAATTAATATAAAATTTTCATAAAATAAAAAATAACAAAAAGTCTAACTCTGAGCTTCAAATTAGTTGTTTTAGTTATGATAATGTGGAAAAATTCTTTATGTATAATAATATATATTATTTATTATTTTTTTTTGCCGTATTACTACCATATTCATGTTCTATTTTATTCAGATTTATTAAATCTTCGCCAAATGCCTTCATATATAAAAATTTGTATATTCATTGAAAGTCCACAACACCATCGTCCACCAAATAAAAAAACAAACAAAAACCTGTCCAACATCCAAAGCCATCAAAGGCTAAGTTTGTTGGCCTATCCAAACAGAACTTAAAAGCATAGATTGGGAAATCAAGATGGCCCGCCCAACAACAAGAACATCGACCCACCTTGTCTCTATACCAAAAATATACCAAACATGAAGTCCAGTGGGCTAGCCCACGGCTGGACCAGGCTCAATTATTGGCCCAGTTGTCGCCGTCCCGAGTTGATGAAATGAAAAACCAGTATATTGTCCGCGCAGCCAAAACCCCTATTTCAGAAACCATGGAACTAGCTAAGCTGAAGAGTGAGTAGATCGAACCGGTTGAAATTCATCTCGCAAAACAAAGGGTAACCCTACAAAACCCTAATTCTTATATACTGGATTTTGAATCATAACCCTAATACATATAAATATACATATACATATACACAAACTCACAACAATGTATCAGTCATGTTTAGTTCCATTTGTCAGATTCTATATCGCCAACTCTCATTCGTTACACAGTTAGAATTCAACCATTCCATTTTGATGGCGTTCGCCTCTGCTTTTCGCCGCATCCTCAACGGATCTGCGACCCTGTCTGTTGCGCATTACCGTTTCAGTTCAACCCTAGCAACTCCAAAGCTATTCATAAAGGGTACGTTTATAAAGCTTTTATTTAAGATGTTTGCTTGTGTATATATTATTGATCATTGATTTATGCTTCCTCAAGGATGGACACCTGGGTGTCCTTTTCCCTATTGTTGTTGTTGTCCACACACACACACAGAGTATACCAACTTTCTGTTTTGTTTAAATACATACCTTAATGTTATGTGTTACATTATTTGTTCTCCATTTTTACCTAATAAAAAATTTTCCATTTGCTTCTTCCGATTTTGTAACGTTTATAAAGTTTTAATTCCTGAAGGGGATAATTCACACCATTAAGTTATGATCATGCTAACTTGATTGGAGTTCTAAATGATTTTAATTATTATTGGGAAACGTAGGTAATTTGTGAAGGGCTTTGGTGTTAGCTAATTGTTATGTTGGTGCCCTTTGGAGATTTCATATGAGAAAGGGGTCCTGACACATTTTTTAAAATTGTTAGTGGAGGGCCTTGGTATAAATTTCCCTTCCTAGTTGGTGGGATCTAGGTGGCACTTTCTCAAGAGTTGTGAGGGACATGTGTCACATGTCCATCCCATGCGATATTAAGATCCATTTTTTCAGCATAAAGAACATACAAAATGGGGTCTCATACACACTCATACGCATGAAGGTATAGAAAGGGAAAGAGAGCTAAGAAAATTAGGAGAGGAGGAGAAGCTCCAACCATGGGAATTCCGGAGAGAGAGATGAAGAAGAAAAAAAGAAAGAAAGAGAGATGGGGAAACTAGGCTTGGGATCTAGGAAGCACGGACACTCCAAAATGAGCGAAAAATCTGTGTCCGACGCGTGTAAACACTCCAAAATGGGCGAAGAATCTGTGTCCGAGACGTGTCGGGCATGGACACGCGTCGGATACGGATTCTTCGTCCATTTTGGAGTGTCCGTACTTCCTAGATCCCAGTCGGACACGCCCTAATACGTATCGGACACCAAAAAACGTGTCTAGAATATATATATATATATATATATATATATATATATATATATATATATATATATTTATTTTCAGACATGGCACGGACACTCCGCGGACACGCGTGTCTGGAATTTTTTTTTCCTAATTTTTTTTTTTTTTTAGGAATGCTGATATGTTCTGTTTTTTGTTTTGTACTACCCTTTTGGTATTGTAAGTGGTAAAAGTCTTAGGTCAAATGATGGATGGGAATAGTTGATAGTACATTGACTTGTTTTGGTATCTTTTTTGGGGACTGGCCTTTAGGTTTTTGTGACTTGTTTTTAGGTTTTTGGAGTAAAGTTGCAATGATGATTACATGATACCAGTTATTATTCTAATGTCTTGTTTTTTATTTGATTTTATAACTCTACAACATTATTCTCTTATAGTTTATTAGTTATGAGTTATGATTTGTGTTTTTTTTTCATTATGAGGTTGATGAAAAATAGTAACACTCAGTAATTTTTAAAGTACTACATCATATATATATATATATATATATATATACTACTCGCCGTGTTTCCGATGTGTCCGTGTCCTAATTTTTTTGGATTTGTCGTGTTGCCGTGTCCGTATCGTGTCGTATCCGTGTCCGTGTTTCTTAGCTTGGGATCATCATCACTTCATCTCCATCAACCATCACCAGGGGTGGAGTCAAGAATTTTAGTTTGGGGAGTCAAATTTGTACTATGTAATTAAATTTTATTTATAATATATATACCTCAAGAATTTTAAAAATTAAAAGAAATGCAACCTTAATAAATAGAAAAGAAAAGAAAAATTAATATGAGAAAGAAATATATAAAGGAGCAAAGGATAATTTTTAAGTAAAAAATGAAGAGAAAAAGAGAGAGCATAGTTAAAGAATCAAATTTTCTTCGACAATTGTTTAATTATTCAGAAAGTCATTTTGAAAAAAACTTTTGAGTGCTTTGATTTTACTTTTGAAAAAATATATCATTATTATCTTTATGAAAGATTTATAAAAATAATAATTTTAACTAAATAAAATTATACTAGTTCTATAACTTTAGTAACTTATACAAAAATCAATAGCCATTCAATTTGTCATTTAGCAAGTGACAATTAGAAGTATTAATATATATGATATCATTGTTGTTGTTCGCGTTTTGCCATTTATGTCTCACAACATTTTAGTTTCTCCTCCTTTCTAATGAATCTAAAACTCACAAATGGTGATTAATATATAATTTTAGATATTTTAATTATAGAAACCTTAAGACTAAAAATGTGTGACAAAAAGAAAAAACAAGTTAATGCATTTTTATTAAAAATGAGGTGCATCAATGTATTTTTATCTTTTAAATTAATATACAAGTGAATATGTAAATGAAACAATGATAAGTGTACTACAATCATAATAACAAAAATTTATGTTTCACACGATTGTTTTTTGGAAGGTATGTTCCTCAAGATTTGAGTTTTCAAGAGGATGACTAATATGGTCAAAGTTAAAATTTTATATAAGTTTCAAAAGGATACTGAAGATGCAAGGAATTCATTTCCATTTTCTCTCTCTAGAATTCTTACACTTCAACAGAATCAATCCCCTTCTCTATCCATTACTTCTCATATTTATAGATACTTACAAACACTAATGGACTGCTAGATTTGGGCCCGTTCCTCTGTGGGTTTTTGGTCATCTTTGATGGGCTATTCGCATTCGGCCCATATGGCAGTATTTCTCTATGGGTTGGACCCAGCTGCTCGGACCGGATGCCATGTTCGCGGGTCATATCCGGCCCATGTCACTTCTGGCCTCCTCAACTGCCCCCATAATTACTCCTTATTTAATAAGGGGGTAATTATCAAAGGCGTCTCATCATGACGTTGACGGCTCGAGAAACTCTTATGGGGGAATGGGCGGTCGGATCCGGAATCAATGTTTCGGGGTTCGATAAACTTCTCGCCTCCCTGACACTTCGGCCCTCGGGTCCACTTCGTCTTTATAAGGCTCTAGAATGCCACTTCATGCCTTTTTACCGTCTCCATCTCTCTCCATCATCAGTCAAATCTCTCGCTCATCTTTTTAGAACAGTGCTAAATTTCATCCGGTGAAATTCTTCAAGAGTCATTCTTCCAGCGATCTTGCAATGCTCTTTGCTGCTTTCTACCTCAGAGGTTAGTCTTGTTCCTTTTTACTTTCGGTAGACTTCTTTTTACTCTTTTAGATCCTTCAATCGCTTCCACCATGGTTGTAGATCTAGATGTTCTTCGTATGAGACTTAGACTTCCTAACAACATCCAAGTTAGGGTTTGCCCTAGAGATGTTAATATTATGACCGGTGCCGGCTTTCTTCCCGGCGAGGTTTTATTTACTAACCTTCAACTGAATGTCGTTAGGTTCCCTCTGCATCCCTTCTTTAACTATGTTTTCAATAGACTGGGGATATCCCCCCTGTAGGTAAACCCAAATTTCTTTAGAATCATATCCGTTATGTTACTACTGATTCGTGACAGAGGTCTGGATCTTGACCTCATAGATCTTCTTTTTTGCTATAAGGTCAGTAACATCCGAACTGACGAGCCATTCTACCACCTCTACCCGATCGACAAGATGTCCATATGTACGGATATAATCAAATCTGAAAAGGGTTGGAGGGATAACATTGTGGGTGTTAGTGGGGCTTGGTCTTCGCCGGCTGCAGAGGATTACCCAATCCCGAGCGCCTTTGGCGTCTGTTCTGTCTCCTTGTTTAAGAAATTCAAACCTCATAAAAACGATTGTCCCTGCGAAACATGTGTTCCTCGCTTTTGTACTTTCTTATGTCGCTCCTTAGGCATACCTTGTGATGACTTGAGTTACAGTGTTTGCAGGGATAGGAGTAATTACTTGAAGAAATATGTTCTGAACGATATTCCTTCTTGCTCAGATCTCCTCACTTCAGACAACCTTCTAGCGCTCTCATCCCTCGGCTATACAATGAGCAGACTTCAGATTCCTTCCTTTGGTAGGAGAAAAAATCCTCCCCCAGCCACTACTGCTGCTGGAGCAACCTCCTCTCCCGCATCAGCCTCTTCTTCAGCCACCATCTCTGACACTATCCCGAGTGTGGTGGCTATTGATCCTGTTGTTAGCACCCCTGCTACCAACCCGAGCACATCTTCACAGATCACTACTACCCCTGCTGCTGCTGGGGGTGTTCGGGACAAAGAGCGAGGCAAAAGACCTCATCCTGACGGTGGAGTCAACCTCGAGGAGGAATCCCTTATAAGGAGGACCCGAGTCTCTGGGCCGAGCGCTCTCTTGCATCGCCCAGTCAGAGCTCCTGCCCCCTCCGGGCCTGTTGCAGCTGCTGCCTCTGCTTCTGCTTCAGCTTCAGCTTCTGCCTTTGCTTCTATTCCTGTTTTACCACCATGGGCTCCTCGATACACCCGAACGGATGGGACGTTCGTGAAGCCGAACGAGACCATGTTTAAGGATGGCCAGACCGCCATGGCGTACTATAGGAGCATGTGGACTCCAAAAGACTTTGAGGCAGCGAAGGGTCTGTCACAAAAGGATGTGTTCAGCCGCTTTCCCCAATCTGCCATGGAGGTGACTTTTATTTTCTAACTCATGAATCTTCTCATAATATTTGCTCTTGCCTTCGTCCGACCAGGCGATCGGTTTAACCAGTATTCATGCATATCTATGCAGACTTTGTTCGGTATGATGGCTATGCAGAAACAGGTGGAAATGGGGAACGCCAGGGCACGTAAATTCTCTGATAGCCTGGATGTGGCTAATAAGGAAAACGATATTCTTGCCAACAAGAACACCGAGATATTGGCTCGGCTTGAAAAAGCTGAACAAGAGAGAGATGCTCTGAAGAAGGAAACCGACTCTCTTCAGGATGAAAAAGATGCCCTCCAGCTTGAGAAGAGTGTTTGGCAGACTGAGCGCGATTCAATCAGAGATGAAAAGGCAGAGCTCCAGTGCCTTCTGGCTGACGAGCAGTCTGCTCGGATGGCATTTGAGAAAAGAGTTCTGGACGAGCGCAACGCTCTGATTGACACCATTAGCA